TATCATGAACTCTGACTGGGGCTTGTCTGTACTCCAAGCTTCAAAGTCCAGTTGGGAGCACTCCAGTGTCTCTGGGTCTATGAAGAAGGGCATGGGGTGGGCGGGCAGAGGAAACAAATGTGCTTCAGCTGCCTTAAAGGAGCTCCAGCTCCTGCTACCAGCACGTTCTTGAGGGCGACGGTGCAAACTAGGCAGGTGGTCTGGGTCCTGTGTGACTCACACCCCTTTCTCCAAAGGATGGGGAACATGAGAAAGAGAGGGCCACTAAACCAGTGGTGTGCTGGTAAAAGTTTAACAAAAGCTGCACTGGAAAACAAATCAGCCCTAATCTGGAATGTCCACTTATTCTGTTATGTAAATACTCTCACTGAAGCCCATTCAGACAGGAAGGTCACTAAACACACAAGTGGGAGCAGATATGCAAATCTCCTACCAGAATGTAACATTTCTAGTCTACAGATGCCAGAGAAGTAATCACATTAGGAAATAATGGTAAAATGAGACCAGGAAGTAATGAGTGTTTGACATTTATCACCTTCGTTTTAATTTTTAAAATAAACATAAAACCATATTTCTTTTATCTTTAGTTATGTTTATGTAGTACGTGAGTATGTACACATGAGGGCAGGTGCCCGGAAGTCAGGAGCGTGGGGGCTGGAGTTGCAGGTGGTTGTGAAGCTGGCTCGGAGGCTGGGGATTGAACTTGGGTCCTCTGGAAGGGCAGCAAGTGCTCTTAACTGATGCACCATTTCTCCAGCCCTCTTTATGTTCTTTTCTTTTAGCTGAACATGGTGGCACACGCCTTTAATCTCAGCACTTGGGAGGCAGAAGTAGGTGGATCTCCAAAGTCAAGGCCAGCCTTGTCTACAGAGGGAGTTCTAGGACAGCCAGGGATACACAGAGAAACCTTGTCTTGGAAAAAAAATCATTTTTCTTTTACATTTTATATTGTGTGTGTGTGTGTACCATAAGAGCGCTTGTGGAAGTCAGAGGACAACTTTTAGGAGTTGATTCTCTACTTCTCATGGACACACACACACACACACACACACCCACACCCGCCGCCCCTTGTGATAGAACTCGGGTCTTTGAAAGCTTGGCAACCAGTGCCTTTACATGCTGAGACATCTTATTGGCTGCAAATATTTTGTCAAATAAAATTTGGATATAAAATCAATCCACTAGTATCTTGGTCCTCACTTCTCCCTCGTTGAGTCCTGGAGGCTGGCTTCACTAGCCCGGGCACAGCTCCTGCATCTGCTTTGCACACAAGGCCACCAAGTTCACTTCCAAAACGTGGGTTTGTGGTGCCACTCCTTTCCATAAGCCCTCACCCCCAAGGAGTCCAAGCTCTCAGACAGGGCTTGAGCTCAGCTTCCTCTCCGGGAGTCTGTTTCTCTATGTATTGCCCGGGTCTTAAAGCAGGTGTCCTCAAGTCTTAGGAGCTCTTGTGCCCTGCTTCACAGGAGTGCTGAGGGCAGGCCCCGAGACTCCAGAAACTGATTCTATCACACTGTGGAATCTGAGCGCTGTCACAAACTCCAGGTCAAATTTCATCTAGGAAAAAATGGGTTCTGTGTCCAAAAACAAACACTAGAAACGAACTTTTTAAAAAAAGATGTATTTATTTATGTGTACGGTATTCTGTCGGCATGTATGCCTGCAGGCCAGAAGAGGGCATCAGATCTCATTATAGATGGTTGTGAGCCACCATGTGATTCCTGGGAATTGAACTTAGGACCTCTGGAAGAACAGCCAGTGCTCTTAACCTCTGAGCCATCACTCCAGCCCTTGTTTTGTTTTTGAAGTCAGGGTCTCACTTTCTATCTAATTCTGGCCGTCCTGGGACTTGCTATATATTCTCAAACTCACAGAGATCCTCCTGCCTCTGATCAAGGCATGTGCCACCATGCCCAGTTGGAAATGAACCTCTTTAGTTGCGTGTGGTACTTAGGGTCTTGCACATGCTGGGCAAGTACTCTGCCACTTAATGACACCTCCAACCCAATTAATATTTATCTTGATGAATGACTTTGTAAAAGAGTTAGTGGTGTGTGTGTGTGTGTGTGTGTGTGTGTGTGTGTGTGTGTGTGTGTGTGTGCAGATGCCTTAAATCAGTGTGCTGCTTTTGTTTGTTTCAACTGATGCTTACTGAGCACTTAAGATGTACAGAGGATCAGAGACAGACAAGACAGACTGCCCGACTCTGGAAAGCTTGCACATCAGAGTAGCAATAGTGGACCTGTGGAGTGAAGGTGTAAGACATGCCTCTCTTCCTTTCCCTCATCTATCATTTGAGTTGATATCAAATATCGTACCTCTGTGTGTGTAGGAGGATGAGGATGGACGGCTGTCTTTCTCCCTACCACCATCCATTTCCTCACCGATTGGCAGTACCTGAAACATCCTTTGAGGAACCTCTTCCTCCCATCCTCTCCTCCTTCCAGCTGATTGGGCTCTAGTTGCTCTCTAGAAATGCACAAATAAGCAAGCACACGTGACTCCTCGCCAAGGTGCTTGGTTCGGGTCTAGTCAGAGATCAGGCCACAGCGATTTGTTCGGGATGCTTGAGTGATTTCAAATAGCCTAGCATGAGTCCCAGACATGTGCAGATGCCCCAATCCCCAGATGTTCTTTTTCTTTTAAGTTGAATTTAGGTCTGAAAAGTCATATGCAGTCCCGGAATTTTCAGCAGCAATCTTATTACGCTATGCTATTGAGGGCTGGATCAATATGAAAGGAAGTAGAGCAAAATGTGTGTGTGTGTGTGTGTGTGTGTGTGTGTGTGTGTGTGCAAAACCCAAAACCTTTGTGACTCTGGATGCCTGGGTCAAAGCTGCACCTAAAACCTGACGCCTGCACTTTCCAGGTGTATAAGCCAATGCTCTCTCTTCCTCTGTGGCTGGACTGACTGGACGTCCGCTTTCTAGCACACTACCGAGACGTTTGCTGCAGCCCAGAGCCTTTAACTTGGCTGCCCTGCAAGCTGGCTCCTGCCATCTGCTCTGTCATAGCCCCACCCTGTCTCAAACTCTACCCAGCCGGTTCTGAAGCTTCCAGGAGACCCTGTGTAGTTGGCCAGTGAGCCAGTCCTCTGCCGTTCCCTTCTGTCAGAAGGGAGTCCTGTTCCTGAGAACCCTGGGCTTTGTGACCCAGCAAGCAGCTGAGAGATGACCAGGCTTTACACTCTTTCTGTTTGTTGTTTGTTTTTCAAGACAGGGCTTCTCTGTGTCACAGCCCTGGCTGTCCTGGAACTCTCTTTGTAGACCAGGCTGGCCTCAAACTCACTGAGATCCACCCGCCTCTGCCTCCTGAGTGCTGGGATTAAAGGTGTGCACCACCACATGCCTGGTGCTGTCCTTAAACTCTTAAGATGCTTAAGGTCAGGTCCGGGTGGAGTGAGCAGGAGCTGCTTGCATCTGAGGACTCAGTGGTTGGGGCCCCGGCTCCTTAGTCTTTGGAGCTCTGCTTATAGGGCACTTTCCCTGGGAGGGCTTCACTTTTATTCCCATACATGATTTTCATTGCAACTGAGACTACAATGTCCTCATAGAATAGACTAGAGAGTTCAGTGGTTGGACCAAGGTTCTGTGGTCCAATAGGGAAGCAAGTGAACGTTCAAGACCCTCCTAAGCCTTCTTTATGAATAGAGGCCACTGTGGATGGGCAGGTGGCCATGCAGGGTAGCCTAAATGGGAGAGAGATACATTCAGCTGTAGGAAGTTGTAGCTTAAGAGGTGACACATGGACGGTCCCCAGTCAGGCTAGAACCAGGGAGCGCAGTGAGCCATCCGTGTGACTACATATTTTCCAAGTTCCAGGACTCCAGTCTGACAGGTGGGGGCTGCTGCCGGGGAGGGGATTTGGGGACCCGCCTCAAATTCAGGTGAGCTAATCCAGCCAGAAGGGTGGAAGCTCTCAGGCTGTGTTGGAGTGATTTAGGGTGCCTCTGGCTCTGAAACTGTCGACCCAGATTGGCTTAGCGCCCGGGTACGGGCCGGGCCTTTAGCGGGGGTGGAAGAGGAGGGTGCCGCGCCCTGCCCAGCCCAGGTGTCGTCTCCGGGGGCGGGGTTTGGGAACCGGGCAGCTGGGGAGATTCCCGGCTGCACTGGTAGGAGGGTGGCCGTCGAGGGACCGGAGCCCAAGCCTGAGAGAGACTGATTCCAGGAACGCAGGGAGCGCACTGAGCAAGGGGCTGCAAGCATGTTCTCTCGAAACCATCGGAGCCGGGTCACAGTGGCCAGGGGCTCCGCCCTGGAGATGGAGTTCAAACGCGGCCGCTTCCGACTTAGTGTCTTCAGCGACCCGCCGGAGGTGAGAGGTCGAATCCCTGCCTTCCCCTCCCAACACCGGCAGGTAGCCCTGGCCACCCTGCCTCCTGGGCGCGCCGAGATCTGCGTCCGCTCTAGCTCAAGTTGTTGACTTAGAAAGCCAGATGCGGACAGGGTGCGGATCCATCCGATCTGTGCAAGCCCACGCCTTGCCTGGTTGGGGTAATTTGCCTCTGACTGGAAAGCTCCCGATCGACCTCTATTCCAGAACTGCGCCTGTCCCAAGTCCTTCCAGCATCCTGGGCCAAGAGCATTGGGCAGCCAGGCATCCTCCAATACTTGTATTCTTAGCTTGGGTTCCAGCTGGTTACCAGCCGTCAGTGGCACCCCACACTCCGTGTCGGACCCCTAGGCCAGTCTCCGGTTGTCTCCACGGTGCTGTGATTTGTCTGAAACCTTCCCAATGCCTCTGTT